AGCACAAAACGGGTGAGTGCACATTTACTCTTACTGTGTGCAAGCATCTTTAACTGAACTTAAACAAGGAAATATGGCTTTATTCAATTGTCCATAATTAGTCATATTGTACTTGCCGCTACTTAATTTTCAGTTTCTGATAGGATGATATGGAATTTGGCGAAACGGGCGTAGCGCATGCTTCAAATAATGGGGCAGGAACTATACTAAGGGAACATAGTGATTCACACTGTTTTGCTCAAGTTCGGTAAAAGTTTTCAAAAGTCATCTTGCACGTCAGAAGCTATCGTTTGCGATGTAATTTGCATTGTGTATCCAATATTCGATTTAGAACATAAATAGAAAAATCGCATGGCTATAGGAATATGTTTTTAGACACACTTTAAACCTATACTACACAAAAAATATACTTGCTCCTGCTTGGGGCCTGCATCGAGTGGAGTTTCTACTTGCCCAAATGTCGCCAAATCACTCAGTTTAGTCTGTCCACCAATTCCGCATTCCAGCCGTCGATTCGGGCAACATGATGGGTGGTTTTAGTATTAAGGGGAAGGCTAAATTGCTTATCGAATCCCGACTCAAATGTTAAAGCAGTTAAGACTGCTTTCAAAGCAGTACAAGCGCTGAATGCTGCCAAAATCCGGGTCAACGGTCATCTGCCACTGGCAGCAGAAATGGAGCTGTTTGAGTCACACAGCATCAAACCTTGCCAATTCCTAACTTAATGTTTGACAAAACTTATTTTAAATATTTTATTGACGCATTTGGTTACTTACAAGAGAGTGCGATAAATCATCATCACCTTTACACAATTTTTATAGAATTAAAGTAGTTTAACCGCTTTTCCGTAGGCTGAAACCATGGGCCTCAGACGTTGCAGATCTTGAATAGCTGATTTCGTGAATAATTCAGCGCGGTTCCCCTCAAAGATGCGCAGATTCACCGATTTAAAAGTGCTAAGCACGAGTATTTTTTAAATGCCAGTTAATAATAATGGCCCAAAAGTTTTCAACGAGAGGTGAGTCAGCACATCCGCATTTCCAAGCCATTTTGGGTGTTTGGGTTGAGCTGCTACATTTAAACCCCAATATATTCAGCTCCTTAGCCTTACAACGTTCTAACAAAAAAGAATTCAGCAGCACAGATGATAAATACTCAATGTTATATAGTGAATTTTAGCGTACCTATTAGTTTGGAGAAAAACGCGTTTTCACCGTCAGTCAAGAGGCCAAAATGATGTTACTTCAAAATATGCGACTCAGCCAACTAAATGCAAGTGGATAAATCTAACTCTCCTAACAAAGGCGAGAGGTAACAATGGTTGTTGCCAAAAGTACTACTTGCAGATGCCATAAGAATTCCAGCAGAGATACTAGCGCCATTTACTCGAACTGTGTACCCGTAAAGGCGTGAAGTGGACACCTCTGTGCACGATTAGGGCGCTTAAAGGGAAATTAAATTTCTGTTAATTGCGAATATAGCTCAGTAGTACTGTTTTTTATTTTATGGTACTTTTCAGTTGGAAAGTAGCGTCATTTTATTCCATTCCTACACTTACATTATTTTTAAAAAGGGTTGTTAAGAGTTTGGGGTTATTTTCACGTTAAACTTTTTAACGACTTCAGATGAGTGTAGATTACGAAAGATTATTTTGGAGCAATTTGGAGTTAAGGAATTCTTTTCATTGCAAAATAAGGTAGCAATGGCCTGTTGCTCCTGAGCAACCATATTGTTGGACAGCTAACTGTTTCCTTGGCAAATTTGAAGTTTAGAGCACAAATTCAATAATCTAAAGTGTTTTTTTCACGTGAGTTGGCATTTATAGAGGAAGGTACACAATTCAAGTGAACAAATGCACCATACCCTTAAATCTAACTATGTGATGGGTTTTAACCTCAGAAAACTTAAAGATACCAAGAATCCAAGTTAAATTTAGTCCAATTTTATACTGGCGTTTTCTACAGACAAGTGCCAAACGTAAGTCAGTCTTAAACGCCTAAAAGCTCCAATAAACCTCTTTTCTTAAGTCATTTGCCAATTGTCAGTTTGAATGAGAAACTTTGTATTTTTTGGCCTGGACAACTGTGCATTACAAGGGTCCTAAACTAGTTTATTTCATGTTTGGACAGATTGCATATCATGTAATAGGAAACTCTTGTGTGCACTAGCAGTGGTAAATTGTTGACACCGCAGTTGTATCTCACATCAGTCGACCTTTAAACGACCTGACTTTCCGAATTACTGCTATCAAGACATTGGCACTAGCTGTCGGTTTAAATTAAAAATTGCATACAGGATTTTATGGCCTAACCTTTTTAATATGGTTTAGATACGCTTTTAGAAAACAAAGCATTTATGTAAATGAGGTATGCTTTCAAAGTTAAGAATTGTTTGGTGATGAGGTTTAAGCACAATATTCCCTATGGGATCCCACTTCAGACGATGTTGACCTGAATTAGATGCAGTGTTTAGCGTAAGACGTGAAATACCATGACAATGTAAGTACGTTTGCGGTGAAGTAAAACTTCTCATGGCTCAGACCACGCTCGAGTGTATGCAAGAAGGGAAAACTTTGTACATGATTTGCTTAACTACGAAATTATCAGTTTATACTGCTGCTCCAAATTTATAGTGGTACTGCTTTTTACCAATTTTGCATATTGATGTGCCAATCCTTTTCACTCCGTGGGCACGTATTTCGAGATTTGTTATAAACATCGTTCTTTAAAGTGCGTCTCCGCTTTCTGAGGAGGCCTTTCACTTTTTATTTACAGCGCTCGACAAAGTGATTTAACCTTTCCACAAATATGCCCATCTGGTGGGAAAATCAGTTCTAAAATGTTTTCACGCAATCGAAAGAAGAGTTGTAGTACAGTTGATTTTTTTGCGTAAACTGGCATAAACACGAAATCGAATCATAAATTTCTTCACACACTGTTCGAAACATTCCAGTGCGTACTAATGGGCTGCATGTTATAGTACAAATAAGCATTTGTTCTCCTTCTCTGTTCAAAATACAAAAAATATTACCCGATTTTAAATAAAACAAGTGTTTAAAAAGATTGAAATGGAGGCGAAAAATTCTCATTATATGCAACTCGGGTTATCTGTTTGTGAAATTATATATTTAATTCCCATCAGAACGAGCCGCAATCGGTGGAGTGGTGGGTTTCAAACATCAGAAGGTGAAACAGTTGGTGTGCTCCTAGGCCTTGTAGGCCGCGTTTAAATAGCGCTGGTAAAACCTGTGTCAAGACAAACTCCATTGCTGCCCATCGGAGCCCTTTCCAGCAGGAAATCTCTTTTGAAGTAGTGCACGAAAACCTTGTTCAACAAATCCACTAATAATTATCTTCGGTCGATATACTGTTTAATTTAAGGCATATCAAATATGTTAAATTTGGTATTTTTTTATTTCCATCTGGCCTTCAAGACTTTGCATTTGAAAAGGATTTTAATTTTGCGCAAGATTAAGATGCATGCAGATATTTATGATGAATCGACCTAAAACAAGCACATTCGTTGAGCAATGAAAATGAAACTCATATTGTTTGCAGACGATTAATGAAATTCCCAAATGCCAAAATGAGACTAATAATGTTTGCTCTATTTTTCGTAGATATCAAAATTACAGGTATTTTGAAACAATGCATCACGTTAGTAAAGCATTTAAAAATTTCAGAGAGCACATTAATAAAGAGATGCAATTATATCCTTTCAATTATCGTAATTTAGTTTTTATTGTCTTTTCGCAAAATCCCTCCGGAAAAAGCACTTTGTTTTGCAACTTACCTCCAGATTTCTACTTTTAAACATTTTTAACAGCAAAAGATACACAATTTTTTATAGCTGGCGCATGATGGATGAGAAAAGTGGATACTAGCAACGTAAGTCTTGACGCGAAATGCAATTAATTACCCACCGATTCAATGGGGTTCACTCTCATCCAGTCCTCGCCCATAATTTATTGCTACAAATAGCCCGTGAGGTCTAGGAAAGGAACTCCCACTATACATGGTGTTTGTGAAGATTCCGGAAAATGTTTGTGAAAACAAATATTTGGAGGATAACATGAATAGAAGAAGGCTAAAATTAAGGGTTTTGGTAGTCAAAACGCAGTTCTATCTGTTACTTTTTTGAAAAAGACACTTTTTATTTTACTTTTCGATTGCGGAACAGTAAAAATGGCGAGGTAGGCACAAAGACAAATAGGGCTACAACCACAAACCGCCCCTAGCGAACAGTTGTGCCCTTACAACGTCTTCTGGTTTCTTTTTGGAACCAAATTTCCTCCTTCGTTTCAGCAGATATTACCGGATTATTAAACGTGAAATTTTGAATTTTAACTGCAGAAAAGTGAGTGCTGAAACTATAAAGATTGTTTGTAATGTTTTTGGTGTTCATATTGTGTATGCTCTGTAACGAAAATACCCTTGCTCTGTATCATTTCAATCAACCCTGGACCCTGTCAATTGTGTCATCAAAGATCAGAATATAATAGTAAACGACCTGTTCGTACGGTGAGGATCCATACGAACCGGTAAATAAACTGAGATGCACACGAGTCTAAAACTTAGTGGTCATCCAATTATGAATATGAAGACTAATTTACATTTCCCTCTCAATGTTCAAAATGGCACCGGATACCACTTTCAGCATATTTCACACACCCTTTCGTGGCTGATTACACAGAGATTCACTGTATGTTAGGTAAAGTATATAGTAGGCCAACTTTTGTGCTTTACAGGGAATACAGGGGAAACCATATATACCTGACATTATCTGGCGTAAGTATGATGTTATCATTCGAAATTGACCTAATATTAAATAAAAAATATTAATATCCATCTTTTAAATGATTATGAACTTACTGCTTTTATACTTAACGAGGCCTATTTCCCGTGGTTTAGTCAAGTAAGAAGTTAATAAGAATTAGATTTAACACAAAAAATAGCTAAAAAGCTGATACACAAAAGAAAGTGGCTTAGGGAACGGTATTCATGGAAGTGAAAGGTCAACATTTGGATCCTGCAAAAATAACAATTGGCGAAAATTTTGTAGACCGATTACCCGATATTCCTGGTGGTTGGAAGGAGAAGGAGCTGGTGCGGGATCTGCTGCACGACTACGAGAAGAAGGCTCGCCCTGTGGTCGATGGGGTCTCGCCAATTGCTCAGCTCTCGGAGACCCTCTCAGTGCAGCAGATCACAATCGAGTTCGGCCTCTCACTGATCCAAATCCTTGAATTGGATGAAAATGAACAAGTCCTCACGACAAGTATTCGGACTCTCTATGTAAGTCCTTCAACTCAATTCATAATTCCCAAAGCTTAGGTATACGATAAGCTGGGCTACAGAATGGGAAATACTAAAAGCTGAAAAATAAATGCGTCGTTGTCATGTTATTTAACCTCGATTTAGAAGAAGAAACGGGTAACCGTAGGCATTTCCTTCGATTATATGCGTCAGAAATTGCCAACATTCTGTACAAGCTGTCGAAGACAGAGCAAAATAGTGCAGGTACCTATTTTCCCCCCCGATCTCATAATTTCTTGTTATTGCCAAAGGCGGGATGCCGTCGGCAGAGTTTGGCTTAATGACCTTTTTCTTTACCCTAGTCTTGCACCCTCTTTCATTATCCATATCCTGAAAGGCTTCACCCCCATATTATCGAAATATACTCATGTAGGCAATTTAGGCAAAGATAGAGAATAAATTGTGTCTTAGAATGTTCTTCCTTACTGGCAAAAACACAACGCGACGCTTTGTACGCTTGAAGAAATATAATTTGCTTCCAAAATTTGCCTGATGCTCATTGTATTGCGTGTTAATTAAAAGCAAGATACAATTTTTAACTAAAGTCAAATCAGCGGAACATCAGCCTAAGAAGGTTAAAAACATCGAAACGCAAATTTTGTAATAAGTTTTGGAACAATATTATTTTCTTTTTAGCAGTAGAACAGTTAACAAATTTTTAAAATGGAACGAAGGTGCTAGGTTTTGGACAGTTATTTCAGTTCATACTGATGGTGGTCTGTAATCGTTTTAGAGATGGAAGGACTACCACATGGTCTGGGACCCTGCTGAGTACGATAACATCACATCAGTCCAAATACCAACTTCAAAACTATGGCTTCCGGACATAGCTTTGTATAATTAGTAAGCAACAACCACTTTGCTTTGTTAAAATACGGAGGAATATTATCAGCTTAGTAAGAGTGTATGATGGCTACCACTCTCGAAGGCCTTACTTGTGAAGGCTTCAAATGAAGGAGGTTGTCAGAAGCAAACAATGGAATTCCCACTCATTAAGCCTTCGTATATGTATCTATATTATAAACATAATTTCTTTGCATAAAACTTGTTATTGTTACCTTCATGACAGTGCACACATTAGCTATTTAACAGCATAAATGCATTTATGTGAATTTTTATTTTTATTTCGACTTTGTCTCAAATATAAGTCCACATTCCTGTCATGTTATTTGAGGCCAAACCGATATCAATAAAACTGAATGTTGCTTTGATTTAGTGCAGGTCCAACAAACGATATCGTCCCCCAACGCTATGCATAATTGCCGAATGCACTTCCATTTGGGACAAATGCTTGATTCTCTTTTGGCAAGGCTGCGCTGTAGCCCAGCCTGCAGAACTAGGCTAAACAATTCTTCCTTTAACGATAAGAATTCTTTTCCTAAAATTGAATGTTCCTGTTTTCATCAAAGAGGGATTACATTTTATTCCTTTCTCTTGAACAAAGGATTACGACGGAGATCTGGTCTATAGGAATGATTTCTCATTGCCCCTGTTCTAGAAATTTATTGTGGTTGCCGTTGATAGTGCTGATTTTGAGAAAATGCTTGCTGTTTTTTACTTAACCATACCATTATCCTAAATGCTGAAAGAGTCTTTTGCAATGCCTATTTACAAACTGGGAGTAAGGAAAGAGAAGATTCCTTCCCATATCTTCCTCGCATGATATCATTCATTAGACGGTTCATAACACTTTTGCACTCTCTTGTCAAACGATAAATTTCGTGGCCTAGTTAAACCAAATTCTACTGCAAGTGGAAAACTAATGGCCGTCATGGTTTGAATAACTTTGTAATTTGTGAAAAAGAAACCTAGCTACTTCTACCGCCAATTATGGATTTCATTACCTCGGATTAGAAATATAGGTGTTACTTTACACGTGGCTGTTTGCGCAATGTGAAATTTCCACCTGAAGCATGGATTGATACCTGGTTTAAATTTCATGGCCCCTAGTAGATAAGCAGGCAACATAATTTCATTGAGAAATTTAGTAATGGGGAAACAGTTTTAATCGTACCCTTTCTCGATGCTGCTTTGAAGCGATCCGCAACTTTTGTTGGTATTTCAAAAATTTCTTAAATATATTTAATAAATATCAATACAAGCCAAATGTTGAGTGACTTTGATTAAAGAGCTCAACATAGTAAGATGGCGGATTTACCTAGCCATGAATGTGCTAGAATATATCAAAGTAATTCTCAGCTATATGTCACTATCTTTATATTTTACAGTTTTGATTTACCAGAGCTCTAGAACAATACTAGCCGATTTTCCATGGATATCATTGTCTACTTTCTGATAAACATGTCAGCTGTTCAGCAAGAAAATCTCCACACCCCAGTACTTATATTTCAGAAAGGTTAATCAGCTCTGTGAATTATTAGTCATGTCATATTTGAAATCAACTCAATTAGTGTAAACTTGAAGGAAGAAGCTTTTTTCAGAATTGTTTATAATAGATGAAATGGGTTGGAAAAGGAGGAGCCAATATACACATTATTATTGCACTCGCCTGGTCCGCTGCTGCAAATTTAGTTTGAGCGTAGATACACCCATCAAGACTCGTGCCCACAGTTGGATAGCAGTTCATGCCAGCTCATGAGTACACTCAAAGTTAGGAATCAGGGGAAGCCTCGAGAATTTGAAATTAGGTTTACCAAACAAAATCTCTATGACAAGTGACCATATCCCCTGGGTAAAGGCAGAAATGGATTAACAGGAAGAATCCTGATTTGTGCCAAAAGCAATCTCATTCATAAGGTTGGCCTTTAATTTTAGCGCTGACGAAAGGCTAGAGGAGAGAAGGCGCTCCGACCTGTTAGTGTCCTACACAGGAACGGTGGAGTGGCAGCCGCTGGCCATCTACAAGAGCGCCTGCTTTGTTCACATCAAGTACTTTCCTTTTGATCAGCAAAATTGCAAATTCAAGTTTGGACCCTGGACTTATGACGCGTAAGCTTCAAGCGCCTAGTCTCCACTTTTTTACAGTACAAGTATGCTCCTTACACTCTATGTCCAGCAATAGTCTCTTCTCACCTGTTTGTCTCGAGATTGCCGTTTTTAAATCTAACGATTACATAGTGTGCGCAACGGCTCCCGTGTTGATGATCACGTGCCACCAATTTCGCAAAGGGCACCAGTCTTTAGAATGCGCAAGACAGGGATTTCGTACCAGTTAGAGAACTAAGAATGCTACAGGATGAACTTCACTCCTAGATTAATTCAGCTTATTCAGTATATATTTAAAGTCCGACACGAAGTTGCCAATTCTGTCGCACTTAGTATTTGCTTGGCTAAGGAATTCTTATTTAACCCAAATCCAACGAAATGTTGGTTCAGGCATGAAGTGGGACTTTCAAAATCAAGTATCTACCATAACGAATGCCTTAATTCATCAACCATTTCGAGTAATGTCCCTCGGGCTTAGGTGTTTGACATTAAATTCACTAGTCACAAATAATTTAATGAATTACTGGAACAAATTTTCAGAGAAAAAATATCATAGCACAAATACATCAGTTCTAAACATTTGTTTTCATTAAATTCGTTTTAAAATGTATATTCCTTTTGCTGTTAATTATAAGTAGTTAATTTGTTTCACTTTGAACTGCTTTTAATCCGTTAATTCGTTGCGTGGAACTTCAAACTTTGGGATTTATGAAGCAAACTGCGTGAACTAAATGGACAGTTGGGAATGGTACCAACTGAGTTGCATATTTGAATTTAGAAGATTGTAATTTCGCTATGCATCCTATGATAAGAATGGAACAGTAATAACGTCTGTTGGAACATGAAGTACCACACCATTTAAAACGTTGATAAAACCTATTTAGCTTAAGTTCTTGGTAGTTAACTTCATCTATGGATGGCTTAAAGCTTAACAATAGCCTTATATAAGTAAGTTTGCTTTAGGTTTACATTAATGCACTTCATTCGGAGTCACTACTGCACTTCACGTGATGATAGTAGGGAGCAGTTTATCCGCTGCCCCATTCATAAATACGCAAAACACCACAAACAAAGCTGGAAGTACCAGCCAAGTTTCAGAATAGTCAACATCAGCACAGCATTTCAGAACTTCCTGCCCGAACCACCTGAGTGTTGTAACGCTTTTGTATTGCTGCTATCATTTTACTCGTGCAGTAGCAGAAGTGCGAACTAACGAATTCGACAGGATATGGTATCTTCATCGTAGGCAAGTCGAAATTATATGATGATAAAATCGGATCCTTCAGCGTAAACGCAAATACGCCAAAGTCATCCTGGTTAAGTACGTAATAAGTTATTTCATGTCGAGGTGATTTTTAAGTGGCTAATCGAAATACCAGTTGTAACTCTTTTCTGAAAACCTCACCGTACCTGCATTTTATTTGGTGCTACAAATAAGACGAACTACTGAAATAAATTGTTTAACTATGGCAAAAATTATCCGTGAGCAGCAAATACCCTGCTACACACGACGCAGACTGCAATAGAAACTTTATGTGATATTCAAATTCATTAACTCTGCCTTCTGAAGGTACTTACCAATCTCAGGGAAATCGGGAATTTCCTGAAGCCACAAAAAGGCAAGCAAACATATTTCTCAGATGAAGGTAGTGCTCAATCCACAGAAAGACGGCAAAGTGTTAATGAGGAGGAGGCCATACTTATTTAACTGTCTGTCAATGACAATTTGAACAGGAAGTTTGTTATTTATTGACAGAAAATCACCACCATACGTCGCATTCTGAGCTCATAAGCAGTTTGAGTTGAAAAAGTATGTCATTTTAAAGGGATAAATCTAATTGGTTAAACAGACTGGGTTGTGTCAGATCGCGGAGCCAATGACTTAACTTTTTAAGCTGATCGCAGTGGTATGAGATCCCCAATTTGGGAACAGATGCGATAACTGTGTTCATTTCTAAGAGCAGTAATTTTGTATGCTTTAGTTTTTCCTTTGCGTTAACAACCGAATGCAGAGTAAGGGAAACCGTTTGGGGTGAAGACAAGTCGTCATTCTTAAGATGGGTTAGTGATCATTAAATTACAATCGTAATAGAATGTCCACAAAATATCTTTATGAGAAATTACATAACAGAGAATAGATTTTTCTGCTATCAAAAACTAGCTGAATTTCTGTGGAACTTACTTGTCTTAGAGTTTGTAACATCAAAAGAGCAAAATTCGGGAAGATGAATGAAAAATTGTTGTTGAAAAGACTTTAGATTACCACGCAACTCTACGACCTGATCAGATATGAATACAACCCAATTTCACTAATACGATTTTGTGCTGTAAGATGTTACGACCAGAAAGTGCTCGCATTTAGCGATCAAATCACATTCGTTAGGATACATTTTGCCAGCAGTGTCATGAATACCAAAACATTCAACACTGAAAACACTGTTTGCGTTTCAGTAGATGTCTGCGAGTTTCCCAAATGCGAGTGATTATTATTTGAAGGTAATTCTATACAGAATTTGATTAAGCCACATTTGTGTATACAGATGTTCTAAAAATACACGATCACGAAAGAAGTAAAATTTGGCTTACACTCCATACTTTTTCGCTTAATAAAGAAAAAGTGTGTGCTTATTGCGTTTCGCCTAAGTATCGGAATTGAAAGCTCTTTCTTCATTTGATCCAACCCATACAAATAACTAAAGAACTTCAATGTCATTTATTACCTAATGCCCAAAAGGTTATTTAAAAGTTTTAGCTATTGTTTAGTCATTTTCTAATTATTTCACGAATTTAAGCCGACTTTAAAATCGTCTTACTGGCTTTAAAACTTATTCATTTAAATCTATGGAACGTGAATGCATCCTTTATTCACTTAATTCAACTGGTTCATATAATGAATAGGAATGCTACTAAATACGAAATTAGACCGGATTTTACAGTATTAGTACATTAAAATAAAGACCTTAAATAAGACAAATTTCGTTCTACTGTTCGTTTGAAAATAATAGGTAAATCGCGTGTAGAAATGCAGGCATTTATGGACGGCTGCTGTTTTTTCATAGTCAGCAGCTTTGCACTGTCGACATTTCCTTTCGATTTTAACCTCGCGCTCCAACCTTTGATTCCTTCTCAAAGCGGCGGCAACAAGTACAAGACTTCAACAGATTGGACGCAATTATGCATATGATGAGGGTTTTACTACTACACAAATGCATAGAAAAAAGTCTTTCTTTCAAATGCCTAGTGCCTCCGTCATTGAAATGCTGGCGCATCATTTTGTGCATTGTTAGCAAAAATATCAACTTTTTAATTTTTCACCTCTGATATAAGGAAATCTTGTTTTTGGACCTCAAACACACTTCATAAGTGAAGGAAAAGTCGTGCAACCTCTTTCAAAGATATTAAGTAAATGTGCCATACATATGGCCATCATTGGGAAGTTCATACATTAGAATACTTTATTCAAATAAAATTTACTTACTCTAAGGGGAACTGCTCCGAGGTTTTGAAAGTAGCCCCGTCGGATTTTCTCCTTTACTTACTAAGTCATTGAAATTGCAAAGTTGTTGCAAATCCTAAGAGTACAGGAAACCGCAATTTAAATACATTTTAACTCTGTCAGAAGTGGGCTATATCTTAGTCACTGCCAGGTTATAAAAGATGGAAATGGAACATCAAATCCAATTCGTTTTCTTTAGATCAGGTCTATGTCCCCACCATGCTTTCCCGAGACAATTTTAGCCACCAACACAGCTAAAGAGGCGAAGTAAACTTCACCGACCAAATTAAAACGCATTGTCCTGTATAAACTGTTCAGATATGCTTTATCAGTACTTTTATTTATTTTTATTAATTCCGATTTTATATTGAAAGAAATTGGTTCCTCTTATTACAGATAGTTGATATGGCGATATTTGTTATTTTTATGCGGGATTTTGTTTAGCGCACGGACAAACATAACCTTCTACAACAACTCGGATGGATGGTTTCTGAACGATTACGAGGAGAGCCCTGAGTGGGAGCTGCTGGCCACCAAGGCCGTCTTCACCGGTTTCAAATACCAGTGCTGTGCAGAAATCTACCCCGACATAACTTTTCAACTGGTAATCAAGCGTCAGCCGGCCTTTTACAACTACGTCATCATCCTCCCTTGTTTCCTGCTTTCCTCGCTTACGCTCGTCCTCTTCTGTCTCCCTGCCGAAACACCTGCGAAAATGCAGCTCGGTACGTTGACAAGTCTCAGCATCTTACAGTTTTAACTTCACTTGAACTCAGTATTGACAGGACATCCCAGTTTTTAGAACTGAAAACTCAGAAGACTTTTTTATGCCTAGAGAATGAGAACCTTCTCAATGGAACCTTTGACAACATGTATGAACAAGTCCTAAATTCTAAAGTAGTCAACGGACTGTGGAAGTGTAATGCGTGAGGGGCAGCGTCATGAAAACGTAAACAATTCTTATTATTTTCACACAGCCCCCAAAAATTAAAGCCCTCTAATTATGCCTCTGCACGTGTACCTGTGTGGAATGAGATTCACGGCTGTGGTGCGGTTTGCATAATGGGCGAATGGCTGGTGGGATTTAGTGGATGAGTGAACGAATGGATGTGGGCATCAGACACACACTCCAATGTGAGTTTTATGACCAGTAGGAAGAGTTACAGCAGACATAAAGCTGGCGCACGCACTCACACAGGCAAATGTTTACTTTAAAATCTGCAGACAGAAGCTTTTCTGCCTCCCCAAAACACTGCCTTGTCAAATCTACGGCTAATTTTTTTGTTGAATACCAAACTTTAAAATAAAAGTGGATTCAAATAGTAGCCCCTTCCAACGTACCGTTTTATGGACAAATTTTTGGGAAAAAGTAGGCCCTTTTAAGCTCTGCTATGTGCCCATGATACATCCGATTCCAAAATTTAGCAGTTTTTTTAAACAAGCGGATTATTTGCGTAATCCAAAATTGTTATGGGGTTACTACTTAAGGGGTTATCCCCAGTATGTGGGGTTTAGATATATTCCAACAAGCTCTTCAGCACTCACGATATTTACCCAATCATTTCTAAACTGAAAATTCGTTGTTACAATCCTGCAAGGTTTCTGAGGGTTTGGAATGAAGTAACTCTTTTTCACCTCAACGTCTAGCAGGTAAATAGTACGCTGTTAATTGCTAAGGCTACTAATTACTACTTTGCACTGAAATATGGCTTTGATGGATTCTTAACGTAGTATCTACAAAATGGAGCAAGTGAAGAAAGGAGCGTGTTGACTGGGATAACGGGATTGCAAAGTAATGGCTTAAATACTTTGAGTCGGGCAGATAGGTTACATAAAATGTCGACATTCGCCTGTCATTGAAAAGTGCCACTTACTTGCCACAATTTCAAAATGAGCTCTTTGGTGATTTGAGTTTGGTGCCCGGTGGAATTTAACATCCCTCATTTGAGCGCAATTTTTCTATCCTAGGCGCGTTTCATTGGAAGGCACTTCATTTTTCCATTCAAAATTCCTATCTGGCTGGTACTCCAATTTGCATAGTTTAAATCACCCACTGAAGTTTAGAACGACTAAAACAGACGGAAGTATCGGTCCCTTGGGTGCAAGAAGAAGTATCAGACAATCAACCATTTCTTAAAACAGTAAAATCACTGACAAAAACGGGAAAAACATTTGCCTTTGAATCATATGATGGTAATTATTGTTGCAGCACCATCTTGGCAAGACGTGATATCCACTATGAGTATATAGTTCCTCTTGAGACAAGATCCTTTTAGTGACTACCAGATGTGTCCGAAGCAGTGGCAATGGCGAAGAGACCATCGGTCTTAGGCGAGACCCATTTACCACATAAGTCTACGCATGTGCGTTTTAAACATGCACCTGTGCAATCCAAAACTCCCATTCATTCAGAGTAGGTCACTTTCAAAACACTTGACACCACTGAAGTCAAATTCACTTGCTTAGTATTTCCTATAACAATAGTGTGCAGCTTTATTTGTGCCTCCCACGATTTCTAACCAGGCTTTACCTTATTTTAATCATAAGTTTACTGATTAGTCCTTCTAGGTCATTCACACGTACCAATTAAATTTGATGGATGTACGTTTTATCAATGTAGAAGAAATTTACGTGAGCATTAGAATAGCCAAAAGAAGGAATTGCACTGAATTAAGAAATAAAATTAAAGGATTTTTCTGTGTACCTTTGGGCGTTTTTTACCTGCTCAGCTGTTCACTGCACGAAGTAAGGGCGGTAACAGGATACTATCAAAGTGGCAACGTGCTATCAAGAATATCATGTACATTTAGGCAAGTAAAATGAAAATACGAATGTAAGGATAAAATCATATGTGTCTTCTCTATTGCAACACTACGTTTTTTTCGGTTTCGAACATATTTTGTGTTACTTCATTGGATGAACAAATGAGAAATAGGTTTAATTGACTAGACAAACATCAGAAGTGTGCTCGCGTAAATTGATAGGGCTCATCTGAACACACACACATGTGCATAAACATACACCCGTGGGAAAATTACAACCCAACTTGATAATGATAGAACGAAGGAACACCTTTGATAATGTAGTTGTTACGCAACTAACATAAGGCTGAAATAGTAAATAGCAAGGTTTTTCTCGGTCTCAAAAACATCTCGCCAGCTCCATCGTCTGCCCCTTAGCCACCCCCACCCCCCCTCACCTCACACGTCACGGCCACCACCGCCACCACCACCATCGTGCCAAACAGACCTCGCCTGCCATTGCTGCCTCCCGCTAGTGCAGTGGGTTGCCACTCGCAAACACTTTTTTTCTGGAGCAATAGATAAACGCGTGCGTGCGTGGGCACGGGAAATTGACTGCGGTTCATCGCAGCCGCGAGGGCGAGGGTGGGAGCTGCGGTGTGGAGTGGTGTCATATTAGCTCGTGAAAAGGCTCACGTGCGTCCTTAACGCTTGCGCCGCTCAAAATTTATGAGATTATAAATTACCGCCATCAGTATATTGTTCGCCTCAGTAGGGACTGCCTCCCCTGAAAAGCAAACTCACGCCAAGACAATTGCCTATTTTTTTATTATAAATTCGAAGAAGGAAAGGAGAAGACAGAGTAGATTGCGAAAATTGTCCCATCATTTGTTCATACGAGCTTTCAACCATGCAATTGAGTTATTAAGAAATACTATGGCCTTATAATGCTGTTACACATAAACAGGCAACTGAAAGATCTTTGAACCTAAGGTTTCTCATGCAAAACAATGACTTCACGTAAGATTCCATCAAGGATAAAAGAACAAAGATATGTTTATTCCTCTCTAATTCTTCATCTTATTTTCTCATGCACCTTAAATTGGACACTAAAGAAGGACTTTTAAAAAATGGTAATTTTAATGTCATAAAGACGGTGACGCCTTATCATGGAAACCGTCAACTTTTTAAATGAAATAATGCTAGTCATCACACGTATGCCATAATCGGTCAGCTAACGCTGATTGAATATATGGACTAATCGAAATTCCTTTTGGAAGTGAGGGAACCAGCATCCACCTTAAACAATCACATTCAAGACTTGAACACAATTGTCATTTTGAGGGAATGCAAAATTGCGAAAAAGAAGTATCTGTAGGATATGAAAGGCTAATTAGTCATTTGATCATATATGCTTCACATCAGTGCGCGAAAATCCAAAGGCCTTTTTTTACTCCATTGCTTTTAATCGTTCACCTTAGTCCCCCTTTATCAACAAAATCCTACGTAATGATCAAAATCCTAGTATTTTATGTATTATGATACCTGATGTCCAGCTGTCGGCACCTGAATTACTGGCAGTAATGTCACGAATGCTATTCCATTTTCAAGTTAAGTGTGTGAAAGTAAATATTTCCATCAATTTGTGAGTCGGAGTAAACAAAAAGTGCTGGGCTTAAAAAGGTATAAAAAATTTACTTGAAGAAATTAGCCTTTCCCTCACAGGTGGATTTGGCCAATTGAAATAATAAGGTGAGTAAAATGAAGAAGACTGCTCACCATCACGTGCTTTGAAAACTTTTGGTAATTCTAGAGTGGTATTTACAAGTTCTCGTTTAAGAAAGTGACCGAAGGGTTGAGTGTTCACCTATCATAAAAAGTATTTTGGAAACGGTGAAAATACCCGATCTTCACAAATGAGACAGTTTGATTTCCTGCTAAACAAGAAATGCGCGAAAATAATGCCTTTTAAGATTGCTAACTATAGCACTATTAATAGTCTAAAGCGGAATGCTACAATTAATTGCTGCAACTATTTTATGGGCTGTTTACAAGGCCTGCAAAGCACCAAAACGTGCAGTCGACTTATTCTTCTGAGATTTCACCGTTGAACAAACAAGGACCATTCTCATGTAAGCTTTTGCACCAAATTTTTCATGAAATCACGTGATGTGAATTTTGATCCATTTTCTTTGAGTTGTATAGCGACATTCGCAAATGCCTTAAATTATTACACAAAACCAATTTCTTCATCGGTTTCATGTTCTCATTTTTCGATAGTTAATGGCAAACAGCTTCAGACTTGGTAATTGATAGAAATACAAAGCTCAACAATTAAATTCGGTTTTATGCTTTTGACGAAAAAGTCAAGAAGGCATAATGCTTACTTAATTTTCTCAAATAAAGCACCAGTAGTTTTGTTTTCCTGTCGAAGAATTGCTTTTACCTCTCGCATAAAGAACACTGCATTAGTTTCGAGTTCAAAAACACTCAACTTGTGGCCAGAGCAGAAGCGCAACTTGGGTAATCGAATTACCTGGACACGCAGTTTACACCAGCTACAAGTGTTTGTCTTTGCATGGTGGAAATTTGGTAACTTAGAGAGAATGTGTTATTTTGCACCCGAATAAAGCATTTGAAGTGCAAAATAGCTTAAGATTATGACACAATTTGATTAACTCATTAAATGAATTTGTATACAATGCATTAGCAATCTTGACAGCAGAAGTGTAGAAGCTAGCCCTTCGCTTTCCACTCATCTAAAACACCAGCTTCTTCGTATCAAAAAACACATTTAAGGGAAGAAAATTAGTATCCTTTAATCTTGTTAATTTCATACTTGACTTCTAAATGTAATTCGGGTACTACATAATTCGTGCTGTTTCAAGTATATCTCTGGTGATAAAACCACTGTACCTCTATTTTTATGAGGAAAGTTTATACTTTAGCATTAAATCATGATTTGTATTATTAAAGTCCGCATAACCTTCCTTTTTATAGGTATGACGATGTTTCAAGCCTTCAATTTCCTACTGCTCATTTTGACTCAGTCGATTCCTTCCGGCGCCAGTTCTTTCCCTCTCATAGGTGAGATCGCTTTATAGACGCATAAATTCACCCATATAAAGTAGTTTTTATAAAAACACCATTACATTTCTTTGTTGTTCGTTCAGAGTTATTGAAGATTGCTAAGGCCTCCCAAATCTATTCTGAGACAGCACCGGTCACTGTATGTAAACACTCATCCACAACCAGGTTCACTTATATGCAGTGAATTTTAGGAAATGCATACTTGATCCCTTTTATTGAGGATTCATTCATCGTAATGCGGAAAGTATGCTACACTGCACTCCAACAGCATGGTTCGGAAGTCAAACTCACTGGCTTTCCTCCTACTTGTTATATGCTACAACATTTGTCTCTGAAGCGGAGAGTGGATTTTATAAAATGACTGAATGTGTTCCAGAATTCATAAAAGTAACACGGTATAATTGGTGTCTACGAAGACACTTATAATCTTGTATACCAGTGGAAGGGATTTTGACAGTTGTTTTAGTTAAATAAACTTTGCCAAGAATGTGAAATCGATCTATGAGATGTGGAAACCTGGCTTGTCACCATTACTATAAAAGTATGATCTGTGTTTCCATCAGCATTAAATATATTTTGCTCTATTAACATTCTCCCAATGCATACTTTACGGGAAAGTCTTGCCAAAAGTGGTCTTAGTATGGAGTTTTGTCTTGAAAATGCAGTTAAAGTGAAATAAATAACAAATTCAGTACCTCAAAGTCTTCTACTTGGTATTTTACTATGCAGCGAAGTCAATCATATTAAAACCTCAGTAACTCGGTCTAACGTCACTTATATCTTTATTCAGTGATATTTGAAAATATCACCAAAAAATTAATAACACGTGCTCATACACACCTGAGTAGGGTACGGACTCTGATATTGAGCAGTAGACCTTGTTAGGCACCTGGATGAGGGAGGAAAAAGGGCGAATTTTTCCATTCTCAGGGTTTGCCAATGAACCTGGTCCGCCCTTTTTCCAATGTGCCTTTGAAACTTGTGAGTGGCTACTGAAATTGCAATTTGAATTCCTCTTAAGGTCCGTCTCAACACCCACGAAACAGCTTCATTTATAACGGATTAGTAGAACTTCATTTTGCGTCGAGTTAAGCTGAAAGAGGTGGATCGTGAAATTTGTGAAGCTAGGGCACTCAAGAACTGGAAAAATCTATGCACAACCAGCTCTCACAGTTGTGTGACTGTTCAATATTTAGCCTTAAATCCAAAAATTTGCTATCTTGAATGAAACAGTGTGGATTTTTGGGCTGATGGGACTTGGTGCTCCAAATTCGTCGCGAAGTTATTGCATGTCAGCAAAGGGCGACCAACTGGTTTGAGTTCAATCCAAGCCAAATGTTACCTCAGTAACCTCAACTTGTCTTGCTCAAAATTTACACACTGGGAAGGCACTTTTACACAAGTCTAACTCGTTGGGCTCACTGGCCGAATAAAGGAACTAGTGGATAGAGTAACAATCACACTTCTGCCTCGTCTCGACTCCTTTCATATAGTAATAACTTAATCGGTCCTACCAGTTTTTCCTTGAAAAGTAGATTGGATGCAGACTACTTGCACCAGCTCGTGCATCAGTTTAAGGTATCAAACCACCTACAACGACTTGCATTTGCTCCCACATGACTTTCTGAATACTTCTTTAAAGCATTTATTTAGAATGTTATTTTTAGCCACCACCAAATCAAGCTTTGTAAACCAGTTTCTAAGGGGAAATTACAGGCGAACTCCTAGATTTGTTAGGGGACAATATCTGTGGTGTACGCTACATATACGTCTCGCAACAGAAGTTCTTTTCCTAGCAAAATAATTGCCGCGTTAGATTGTGTTAATAAGGCGCATGTGGACACCTGGAGGTGACCGCCTTTGTCAGAAGCTGGAACCGACGTCAATGCAAGTAATAATCAAACCATTAGCCATCAACACATTTGTTTTTTTTTGCTCCAAAAGAGGCAATGTAACTGAAAGTAATAAGGTATAAAGTTAGCGTTTCTTTAGACTATGTGAAGAGAGAGAATTCTGTGTGAAAGATTGTTCAATTGTAGTTTGTGACTGCCAAGCATAAAAGCATGCCATAAACAAAGCAAGCGGTCGTTTTTACACAACTATCATTGTCGACAAATCAAAATGCGGTAGATCCAAAAAAGGAGGTGCTTTCCAAGTTGATGATTCACCAGGACTATTGCCAAACGCTAGGCTAAAGCCTTTTTGCCTGTATATCGAGATCGGGCGCTACTTTTATTTGTGTCAACGGAATTTAGGCGACAGAGTGGCTTCCCATAGCGATAGCACGGCGTCTGTATGCTGTCGCGGGATGACCGGCTATATTTAGCTATGGCGCCATCTTTAGATTAGCACTACCCTCCACATAGAGGCACGGTCGCATCGAGAGGGCTGCTCGCGTGAGCCTGAGTGCGCTAAGAGACGTGTGAAATTAATTTCATCACTCATATAATGGGCTAAACCATTCGCCTCTCTTCCTCATCTACTCTTTGTCTCATCCCTTTTGCAGGCACTTATTACTGTATCAACATGTTTTTGGTGACGTTGTCAACTTTCCTTTGCCTGATTGTTGTGAATTGTCACTTTCGCGGTGACAGTCAATCCGAAGTGCCACGATGGGCCAAAAAAGTAAGATTCTTTGCGATTGATTTGAGTTAAACACCCACTGCTGCACACAAGCAATAACCCTATGTTGATGGTTAACCTTGAGTGGAATTATTTCTAAAAGATGCAGTGTACTAATATTAATTTCGAAGTATGCTGATAGTAACTATCCTTTTGCATTGAGGTCACTTAGTTTGATAGATACGACAGTCGAGTTTTTGTACCAGTAAGCAACATATTTATTTTAAACTGTCAGTCTTATAAGGATCACCATCGATACATATCAAATAGGTTTTGGCCTTCAGTTTATTATTCATTAAATATCGTGTATTTTAGCACAAGGGTCTTGTTCAAATATATTTGCACCTATTTGTTCTAGCCTTTATGCTGCATTTTAAGGTAATTTTTCTCCTAAAAGATTTTAAAATAGGCATGCGCTATCCGCCGCATTAATTCCAACAACTAAAATACCTAAAGTATACAAAAAACCTAAGAGAGACTTGAACTTTTTGTTTTATCCCTGTCTCATCTAATACTTTTTCTGAGTTGTGCAGCGACTTTTCACCCAGGTATTCATAGAATACGGGGCCCGTCTCTTTTTCATCAACTCACCGTCGTCGCGTGCGGCCAAAGCGAATTCGGCTTCCGCAAAGACCAATTGCATAGGAGCTGGTGGTGTTGGAGGCAACAGCGGTGGTGGTAGTGGATGGTCACGACGGGCAGCCGACTCGGCGCTGGCGGAAGCCGCACACGCCGACAAGGTGATGCGCTCTGCTGCTGGCGCCACCTATCGATCCACCTTCCAGACACTGCCGGCACAGATGGGGCGATGTCATACGCGGAACTCCTTCAGAGGTATATCCCTACTTTATGTACCTACCTTCTCTGACCTTGTGACATCTATGGATGAATATTCAAGTCGCGGATAAATTTGATCTAGACAAATTTGGTGTATTAAGTCATACGTTATGATCCGCACAGTTCGTTTGACATTGGAATCTGATTATATCTAGATCTTTGAAATAGATGAGGATTCTCTTAGCATTACTTGATGTGAGCATGTTTCTATTTGCCCAGTTAATTTTTCTTAACTGCCTTTGAATATACCTCTAATCCCAGTAAATTTCCACGACTGATGTTAATAGCAAACTGACATGTTTTGATAACACGAGGTAAAATTGCACCATACTTAGAATGCAAAGCACTCTAAGGACTAGGTCACGGTAAAATCGTCTTAAAGTTACAATTATCCTCGCAAATTTATCACTCACATTTATTGGGCATGAGGTACATTCCATTAATCACCCAATTTGTGACGATTTTGCAAACAAAGTGAAGTAGGGGAATCTCAAAAGAAGGAACTAACCAACTCACTTTATCTAGTGGCTTGGGGTCTCAAGCATAATTTCTTTCGGTTGATTAGCATTGCAACCACAAGTAAACGCTTCCAACTGCATTTGCCGCTTGGCGAATGTCCTTGTTGCTAGGCGGATTAATTACCCCCAAAAGCTTGTGCCATTGAACGCCTAAATCAGCATCTTGGCTAAAATCAGACTCAGCTTCTCTGCTCACATTTTTCTGGGAAATCCTTGATTATACAGTTTCAGCAGAAGAGTAATTAGTTCTGCACCCTTATACACATGAGGGGACCAATCAAGGTGCAAGTAATCCGTCCCATATTCGCTTAAAGAATTTAATGTTCACTGATACGGAAAGCGAAGATCTAGATCGAGGGAAAAAATCGCGCTATTCACAAGCCTTTACTGCGTAATAGCAAATGCTAGAACTATTATTTCCTTCCTGGCGTATTTATTTCGCTTCTTTAGCATGCCAGCTGCGCAGTTACGATGAGCTTTCGAACAGAAACCAGATCCTATCTCCTTTCCCTGCATTGATGTGGCGCAATGTTTTGTTTATTTAATCGTAATAGTTTACTATAAATCATGTCGTCTAGGTGATATAGATCTATAAATCGTTTCCAAAAAACAATTAATATAATTTCATCGACCATTTCTTGGAATGGATTTAATGGTAAATAATAATTCCCCATTTTGGGACTGGAACTGTTTAATCGGTGAGATTTTATAGCCGTTAAACAACGTGAAGTGCAGTTGTATATTTTCAATCACAGACACAGTTGTAGTGCTGTCTGTCCACCAAATATGCACGCTCACATGAACACGCACAAGCGTCGGTTCGCCCCACCAATCCCACGCCCTCGAAACGCTAACATTGACCGCCCACTACGCTGCTCTTCTAGATTGGCCTGCATTAAGCCCACACTGCAGACGGTGTCGTCACAATGTGGTTTTACTTATTTTAAAACTCTTTAAGTGCCTATTAGGAAACAGATTTGCTTGCAATCAGTACCTCCAGCTCAATTTGGAAAAAAATTTACGATTACTTTCCATCCAATGTAGTGCAGTATAGCGGATGTAATAAAAATTTTCGATAAAACAGGTAGTTGCAGTTGCGAAATCGGATGCCACATGGGTGGTGCGTGCTGTTCCGCGGCTCGCGAGAATTATTCCCGTTACCCACCGGTTGTATCGCTTTGTCTGGAGTGTCAGCAACAGCAACAACAGCATCACCAGGCTGTTGACACTTGTTGTCAGCAGTGGTCGGCACAGCACGACCATCAGTGTCAGACGTCTCAAGCAGTGAGCTACACACGAGTTAGTTGCTCATGTGAGGAATGTAACACCTCCTACCGGGAGCAGGAACCACCATGTCGTCTCCCACTCTCTTCCTATCAACGAAATGCTCAACCTAAATCCCCCTTTGCCGAAGAGGAGACAGGTACCAATCAGATCTGCCCCGCTTGCGCTGGTCTGGCTGTGGCAGCCCCGCGAGAGTGCGGACTTAGTGATGGGACCTACAACGAAGCCCAGTGCGCTCCACCACTGCCCAAGGACCCCGATGCGGCACTTGCCGACGTCTGGGCCTCTGCTGCTCACCATCGAATTGGGCGCTCTACTGCTGTCATTCCTCCCTCCGTCCCTCGCCGTTCAGCTTACTACAACACAGAGAATCTGCTCGTCGAGTGCATCGGCGGCGATGGCGTCTGTGGAGGCAGTCAGTTCTCCTACATGACTGATTGCACTCAATGCCAACAATGCGATGCTGAGCGCTATGTTACAAGCATCGGATCCAAGCCGGATACCCGAGTGTTGCGACGAGTGGCGACTGTCACGCGTGACATCGCTGAGATTGTGCGCGGCATTCGCTACTTCCAGCGCAAAAATGAGGAGAAGGAACGGGTGCAAAAGATTATAAACGAGTGGCGGACGGTTGGTGGTGTACTTGATCGCCTTTTCTTCGTCTGTTATATAATCGCTATAAGCATTTCAATAATCCTTTATTTCCCAAGACCTGCAGGTAGTGGGTAGATTGCCTATAGAATAATAAATACAACCACAACAACAGCAACCAGTCTTCTAATTCCGATTCTGCCTTACAACCGTGTACAATGCCACAAGATTGTATGATGTGTTCCTATCCTCACCTCCTTTTCCTTCCTTACACTCGAGCCTTTAGCCACGCTCGACAAACCGACTCGAAATTTTACTTTCGTGTTGTAGCTCTGACAGCACTCCTTGTAGTGACTTTTACACAGAGTACTGCCAGTACGAGCTCATCCCTTATAGTTAGATACATGAGACTTTCTACTTTGTTTCTTTATTAAAAGATAAGTGACTGAAAGATTGTTTTAGGTTAACTGCTCTGTATCCTCTGGTAAAATGGGTAATAAATTTTTTGAACACTTATCTCCCCCTTCTGTTTTCATTTATATGAATGATGGAAGTCGACAGTTCTAAGTTAAATCAGTATTGTAGTAAATAATTGTTTGAATTTCGCTAATTGTATGAAAAAGAAATTTATTAATACTAATGGATAAATTACTGTTTGACCCAAATACACAAGAATTAGAGCATGTTACAATGACTCCTTTGCAACTGGATTTGAGACGCTCCCTAATTAAGTTGTGTGCTCACTTGCTAAATCAAAACCCGCTTAAATTTTGTTTATAAAATTAAAATTTTAATTTCGTCCTTAAATGGGGCAAAAACCACGTCCCACCTTGTGGGACGTCTGTTATTAAGGTATATTCACACCAAAATTGTTCGCATTGTCCCCTTAACATTCATGCTAGTTTCACCAATAGCATCCACTTGGAGAGTTGCAATTTAATTTAACGAAGTTATCCTCACCAGTTCGTCATTGTTATCATTAGTGCGTTGGATTGGATTCAAAATTCAGAGGATTTTTAATATTTCTTTGGATTTTGGAAAAAGGAACTTGTGAAAGGAGCCTTCTGTCAAAAATGCAATTATGGGTACATGAGGTACAGTGGGCTTTTCGTACGATGGGCCTTTGATATGGAATAATTTTAAGATAGTGCTACCCAAAACCTTGCTCATTTCGTTGTCAGCTTTCCCTCCCACGTGAATGCGTATGAACACTCTTAATATCCGCCGAATTATGAAGCTTTAATAATTTCATCGACATAGCTCGCATGGAGCGTTGAACATTTAGTGCGCATAAGCATAGCCGACTCTTCATTCGTCTTTTAACAGCCATGAGGGCGGGCAGCAACTAACTCTGTGGTTGAACCACTTAAGGTTTACTGTTGAAGGAACTAATGCATTGCAATTGCAATGATCCCCTCGTTCGAGGTAGCCCTCATGGTCACAGCATTCAGGGTTGGTGGAACAACAATGTTTACTTATGGTAATTGAAGTCCAATGGTATTATCGACTAAATCTGAACTAACCTGATCATTTTATGCATCAGTATCACGAAAGTAGTGATTCCGAATTTGTTGGTGGACCCATATCCTAGTACTGGCATATTTTTGCTACTTTTCCGTGTAAGTTAGACAATTGTTTAATGATAACAGTTTCTTCTCACTTGAGCGCAATTACTTTTACCCTCAACGACCAGCAGAATAGAATAAGGAAATTCTTCCAATGATAATTCTACCACCGTGATTCGTGCTAACGTTTTCTGCTTTTCCATAATTCATTGACAGGGCAAGCATACGACCTCAATTTATGCTTTTCTGCGTCAATCATTACCGCTTCTCAATAATGAAAGTCTAAGAAGCATTATGCGACTGCCCATTCTCTATTAATTGGAGCCGCCGAATGTTTGTGTCAATTCTGTTTAAGTTTATTACTGTTGAGTCCTACTAATTCACATGATGTTAGCTTTCTTTAACTACACATTTTGCAAAGATTCCAGGTAGTACTACTTGAATTTATTGGGATGGGTGAGGATTACTAATTAAAGATATTTATGAAAGGTCCATTTCTTCGTTTATTTAATGAACATAAAAATAAGCACTTGCCAAATAATATTAAACGCCGGCGGAAAATGCCACTTCTCGAGTTCGGATTCCTTGTATTAATAGTTCAAGTTTTTGCTTATAGGGGAAGTCAGATAAATTGAGGCCTCTTATGCCAGTTGTCACGTACGAGACTAAGCAAAATGCCACGTCCACTGTTTTGTAGAGGAAGCATACATCAAAGATGTGCACAAACTGTGATTGAGTTGCCAAATTATGGGTTAAAACGTGTTTAAGCATATGAATATTCTATTTTTATCTAGTTGATTACTTTGGAAATCTCTCACTGCAAATGCCATTTGGAATGGAACATTTTTATTTGGATTTTATAGAAACTTTACTACGTCAGAATCACCACATATGTACCACTCTTAGCATGTTCATCTAAATGGATCATTTTGTATTTTTTAGTGTGCAAGCAACTAGTGAACGAAATACTACATATAGTTAATGAGGAATTTTTAAGGCATTCACTTATTTGATGTTGCCTCGTAGTGCATCAATCTGCGAGACTCGCTAACCAAAGTGGTTTATGACATGACCGTGGGCTATCGTGTTTTCTTCCTTATCTCGCCATCATTGTCACATACAACCAATGCTGTTCTAATCAGTGAAAGCCCATGCTATACCTTTCCTCTTCCCCTTGTGTGATTCGATGTCAGTCGCTGGTTAGTATTATCCTAAGGCAACCGACCCGATAAATTAGTTTTTTGGACGTATCTACGCGCCAAAGTTGGTAACCAAAGCCATTTACCGATGTCACTTTCACTTCGCTGTCAAATCATTAACCCCAACATTCGCTTTAATCATCATTTGCCAAAGCGGTTTGACTCTAAGTGATGGATTTGTGTTGAGCTTCTATCCCTTCATATGAACATGCTCTGCAAGTATTTGTGAGAAGTAAAAAAAAGAAAAAAGGAAGCATTTTAAAGTTTTTGACGCACAACGTTCACATCGTTCAAGTTTGTGAACTCTCTACCGATAAGGAAGGCATCATTATAGGCAAAAAATGCTTCATTCAGTATGTATAACGATTGCCGCGTTTTTAAAGCTGAACTTTTTTTACCTACCTTTGCTTTAGTCCGACCTTTCTTAGTTTTTTAATCGCAGCTCTTACAGCTAACTCTTTTCGTTCAAGGAAAAGATATGAGCCTGTAAGCCAGCATTATCTGCGTAGGCGGCTCTCTGACAGGTTCCAAATGATTGAATAGGTAGTTTTGTTAATTAAAATGCCAAATTCCATACGCATTTTAAGTTCGCCTTCTTTTTAGCAAAAAGTAACCACTTAGAAAGCAACCACTTTCTTAGCTATTTAGAAACAGAGTGGTCCACTCTGAGAAATAATTGGCCCCTGGAGGCTCAGCAAGTCGATGACTCGTGTTTCGAAATAAATTCTACCATGATCTCGTATGTTTCAACACACCAAACGTAGGTATCTACAATTTTATGCGACCCATTTCATAAATGTACCATTAATTACACTACCTCCTAAAAGTAGCATGCATCTATGACACGGTGATTATGTTTCGACTTCAAAAATGGTAATAGTCGGCAAATGCAAATTTCACAACCACATTTTTTCAAAAACTTATTGTCGGACACTGCATTGTTTGAAAATTTTAAACATGTTTGCATGAATACTAATTAATTTGGACACAAATCAAAATCTGAGTGCAGATTTCTTTAGATTTTGAATCTGCACGGGACATTAGAGAAGAAAGCTCTGGAAGCAGCAATTAACTTACACTTCCTTCCCAGATGTGGGTTTTATAGATGCTCCCACGTTGAGGTGAGAGCTTTCCTTTGATCAATTGAAACTTGAATAGGTTGGGATTAGCGGGTATTTTGAGCTCGTGCAAATATGATTTGGCACCACACGTGAGTTGTTAGTGTTTCCTAACGTCTTTAGTTAATGAGCTGACGAAACTATTGCCAGGACGTCTTGTTACCGCTGTAACATAGTAATTGTCAGGCCTATCTTGTGTATGCATCACGTCAATCAAATTTAGATTTTTACGAAGATTTAATTGTCATGTTCGAATCACTTGCAATTTCCTCACACATCTTACTCAGAATTAATCAAACAAAGCATTATTTTGGCCCGGCAGATAAGAAGTGGAATTGTAAAAGATAGGATAGTAAAAAATGTGTGTTTTTTTTGTTTTTTTTTGCCCTGTTAAAGTCAAATGGTGTACCATTGGTACAATTGCTAGGCCCACTTGGCTAAATGGTGAAATAGCCGACTTTTCTATTATGAAACCCAAGCGGATATATAATTTAAAGGCAAGGTGATCATATCACGATGCGTTTTGAGTTTGTTCTCTGTTTTACGGCAGAAGAGTATACAGAAATATATGGCTGCTGAATTATAGACGCGACGCTCCGGAGGAAAAATGAACACTACCTTGCACTCTCGTGCAACAAATGAACAAAGAGTATGCTTGAAGTGAATGGGCTTTAATTGTTGTAAAGATTTGTTCAAGTTCGTCGAAGGCAGACATACCTGATTTGTCCAACAATTTCCTGATCGCGCAACCTTCGCACTAGCCAATCGTACTCGTGTGTGGGTGCGTTAGATTTGATTCGCTCTTAACCTCACAGCAATGAGTGTAGGTTCAAATGCGCGCCGACATGAGTTAGAATGCCGCCTAGATCTCGACTTCAAATTTCATATGCTTCATAAGACTATGGACAATTTTTGTGAATCAACCTCAAACACAAGGCAATACAATATCGCTTCTATTTTCTGATTTCTTATATTGCCTGAACACTTGTGCATATTCCTTTTTTTCACTGCGTCGGGGAGAGGGGACAAAATTCCCTATGATGACTAGAGTAAGTAGGTTCAGCCATTAAATCCTTCTATTAAAATGGATCAACATGAGCCTCGTCAGTCCTACCCAAAATTGGTAATTATTTTAATCTAGATTCTATTTAAAATACATATGCATTTCATTACTTACTGGTGCTGCAGCGTACCGACAATGCCGTCCTTGTTTTGCATCGCAATGTTTAAGCAGCAGTTCTTTGGAGTCAGTGCTAAAGGATGCTGTGCGTTACTGTTCAAGCATAACATCGAACGATGCGCGTTCTTTGAATGTGCCTCCAACATCCATTTGAAAGAGTTCTGTATCACAAGAACATGCCGCCTACTTTCGCCCTAATATACGCTTTCAACTTTTAGGCTATTATTCTTCTATTGCATTTTTTTGCACGTCGTGAGACTTTTAGGAACTTTCTGGTTAAAATTAAAACAAGTGAAGCCCTTTGAATAACTTAGTAGTAATGTTTCAACTTTTGGGAATTTCGGTAATTGTTGAGCTTCACAAAGACCCGTCCTTTGTTGATCGAACTATTGTTACTATTAATATCCTGATATTTCTACTTAAATCTGTAAGTACCATAGTAAAACGAACATGATATGCCGATTCGCGGATACCTTCGCCAAAATCTTTCCGAATATCATGGCTAATAGCAACAGGTAGGGAGTATGGAACCTTCGGTTGGATTTCATTCGAGTTAAACTGAGTAAAGACCTACTCGTTACTTACTTGAAATACACTCTTCAGGCAAAATTTTCAGTTAAAAGGCCCTCGTTGATGAAAGAGGGCATTAAAGGTGAATTTCAAAGGAAATTTAGTACCTTATTGGTATTATCAAATTAGTTCGTGAGCAAAAGTGAAACAAGAAAAAAAGAGGCAAGTGTATTGGTTTATACTGGCGAAATGTGTGTCATCCACGCTTGGGAAGATTCCCATGCATGCGAATCGAATGAATACACCTATTTTAATTATGGATTGTAGCCCATGCAATGAAAAGAAGGATTACTCTGATTTTTATCATTTTATTTACTTGGTTTTTAAATTGATTAACAGTAGACAAGCTCATTGTCACTCAACGAGGAATGTAGTAACGGCAAACCACGCATTTCCCATAAACCTGTTCGCACGCGAAAGACTGGAAATCACAAGACACTAGAGGCTGTGTACTTTTTCAGGACGCACCTAGCTGTGCTGTTTGCGTTAGAAACTGACATTTTCGTGCTTGAGTAGCCTGAATCCCATGTAGGCCACCGTTCAGACGTCTTTATTGACTAAGGCAGGTGGGTCAACGCAGAGGTGAGACTGCTCGTCCATGTGCCTGAACTCGAGTTTGGGTCTCAGTCACTCCGTCGGCTTGGTCAAGCCTAATTACAGTGAATGATCTACCTTAAGTTCAGAGTGACTATTGACACACACAAAGTGCAACTAACACAATCTCAGCTAATCAGGAAGGACTGAGAGAGAGGCTTTCCCCGATGTTTGTGAAAATACCCACGACATTGGAAACTTCTGGATGTTTGAGCAATAAAGTTTTTCTGGGGTTGCAGGCATCTCCAGCAGTTTGCTGTCTGAATGGTGTCTAAGGGAGCCGAACACAGACGATCACTTTTCGCTGTTTGCCAAATTGGCAGCAAAGAAATTACAGTACGGTTGCGAACTCGGATAACAAGCTTCATTTATGAAATAAATGGAAAGCAATGAGACACAATACTGGGAGCATGAATGAAGTTAATATAAGCGGATCAGATTGCGCAATTCCGCCCAACTTACCATTATATACGCGATAGTATATAAAGATCCATTTGTAGTTGCGCGCACATCCGAATGATATTTTCGCGATAATAGCAGCTATGTAATTCATCACTCAACTATCTAGTGGTGGTTTCACAACGGACTGGAATAAATTTGTCCGAGCATGGTAGACATAATTCATCTAAGCACGTATAATTTCATGGAATTTTAGTCCCACCAAGTGAATATTGACAAATATTCAACCAATTTCCCGCCTAAAAGTCGCCGCAGCCCACCAGCCCATTCGTTTATTTCGTGAGTTTTAACTGGAGCTGTTTTTTGTAAAAATTGAATAAAGATGATCTAACAAGGAGTAAATTAATCCGAGACCGGAGATTTAATTAAATCAAATGGGCGATGTCATAATCCGTGGAGAACTTTTGGGACTGTAAAACCAAAATGGCGATGTAGAATACGTCACTATAGTTTAACAAATGAAAATGAAACACAGTGAGGATTAGTTGCGTCTTTGCTAAAACTAGAAGAAAGCAGTTATAGTTTTACCATGCTTTCATATCTTACCCGTCATTTGGTCAACACAGTTGTGCGCATCTTTCACATTCTCCATGACGTCTGTCACTACGGGCATCAGTAATCGTTGCTCAATAAAAACACAAATGTTTTCCGTGCTTTGTGAGTTGGCAAGGTGGTTTCCATTCTTTAAGAACCCCACTTTTACTGCTAAAATATTGTGCGTCTAAATATTTAAACATCTCCTTTAACAAAATAGCATATTGCGCCATCGCTTAGAGTTTACAAAGTTAAACTCAGAAGTACATCTATTTAAAACCTTCAAGACTGAAGGTAATGCTTTCATTTTTCGAAAAGGCTGGATATAAGCCAATAATACTAAGCGATTACAGTCTGCCGAACATTTACAGTGGATTTGTACCTTTTACAGAATTTTATGAAACTGCAAAATTTGTTAAATCTAGTGCACAAACTGTTCAAAAGTATTAAATTAAACACACCTTATTTGACCAAACTCAAGCTGTAGGCAAGTAACAACAAAAGATAACGCTCTACATTTTAAGCTTAATGTGATGATACGCCTCCTTTGGCAGTCGATAGGATCCCTCCCTGACAGGCAAATTTGTCTTTCGTCTTATTGCCCCAAAGGGATATTCAGGTAAAGGCAATCGCATTCGAATGCAATAATTTGGCGTAAATGCATGGAATATTTGAAGTCCAGTAAACCAACTGACGAGATTCGTTAGTTGTTTTTGCGTATTCTTTTTGCAGACAGGAAAAAAGTAGTTGCAAATTAACCATAGGTCTACATATCAGCAAAAGTTGACATTACGCCTTCTGCCGTGCTCGAAGTGGTCGTTTATTTTGCCAATTTGCTAAAAGTTTTTACTTCTACTTTGCAATCCCTAACAAGTTGAAGGATAATTGAAGTTGTAGGTAGGTATGTGCTTCATGCAAACCATGCAGTTCCATTTTCATTACATGACCTAAGGCGATTTTTTAAACATTTATAAATTCTAGGTTAAGTGAACAGTATACACTGAGAAAGACATTGAAATGCCCTTCCTGACCGCGCTGTCCTCATAATTTTTTCTCGCCCTATTGAAAGGGTCACGAGGATGCTGTATAAACCATCCTGGCTGAACAGCCCGTCTGCCAAAACTACTCTTTACCTCAGGATATAGAAACACGATCAGCGAATGATCTTTACGAAACATATTCTAACGCATTGTTCGCACTTGTAAAACCAACTAATAGGGGGCGCTGTTCAGACCTTCCAATCTGTCTGATCAGTACGCGCTGTCCGAAGAACAATAAGGGTGTCCGTGGCACAGTTGATCGATGTCAGCTGAGGGTTTAGAGACTGGGACTTTTGACCAATGGCAGGAGGGTGATTCACTCCAGCGTGAAAGCCATGGCTTTGGTGTGGAAAGCTGTTGTCTGCTGAGGGCTCGCGAGCCACTTTAAACGACTGCACACTCACTTGCGTCTCGCTGTGTCTTGGTCTGCCAAATTTAATCCATGCAATGTAGCCAGCAGATATTTGAAATAACTGTGGTTCAGTCTGGCCTAGGGACTAAAAATATACTGAGGCACTTAATTTACTGTTTACGCGATTGCAATAATTAGGATCTTCAATCTTAAAGGAAATGATTAAGAGTGCATTCACCGTTATCAACGGCACTAATGTCCGCAGCGAATGTTTCTGTCGATTTTGAGTAGAAAGTGACCGTGTATGCATGTCTAATAAACCTAGCTATGGTGTCATCCTCTAATGAAAAGGAAAGTGAACATGCACTAGAAACTTGTGAGATTCTTAACGAAATGATTGGATATTTTATGATCTACTTCCCTAAAATCACTCAATAATTCACATGATCTATCTCTAAAATGCGTTTTTCACTAACTTCTGCTGCTATGGCGTTTATTGTTTGGGTCATGTAGCCACATGCCCTACTATTGGTGCACTGATAAATGTGCAGTTCTACAGTGAACCGCCCTTTTTCACTCCGTCGGGATTAGCTAATAGTGTGTGTGACCCTATCGGGTAGTAGCATGGACGCACACGCTTCACAACATTGGCCAGGCGAAGGTCATACAACTTCAGCCAACCACATATGAAGTGTGGACGTGTGCGCGAAGTTTGAACCATGTACCGCGGTTTGCTGTGCGCTGTGCTGATCGAGGGCGAGTAGGTATTACTGCCAACGTCCCAGTTCGTCATTTACAACCTGTTAGCCTCCAAAGTGTGTCGGTGCAGCCTAAACGTGCAACCACTTCAAGAAGTATGGAGATCAGAAGGAGTCTTGAGGCGAATTTTCTTACATGTCGCATTTGTAACAATCCTTTCACTACTCCTAAGGTGTTAGCATGCATGCACACTTTCTGTAAGCCGTGCCTAGAGCATGTTCTTGAACAGGAAACGCTGGAGGCAGCACGAAAGCGCCGCGAATTAGAGCAGCTGCAGAGGTCCTCAGGTTATTCTTCCACCTCCTCTGTATCTCAATACAAGGGACGCTGGACGCGGGCTTTCAAGACCACTGATCACCAGTATGACAAATCACGACTCTCAGATGATTCTATTCAATGTCCACTGTGTACCAGAAAGACCACCTTGCCATCCTCCGGAGTCCACGGTCTTCCCGATGATCAAATGGCTGGAAAATTGGCCTGTATTGTTGGAAGAATTCCCAACTATCCGGTTTGCGACGTCTGCTCTTCAGGGAATCCGGCTATCTATCCTGATATCGCTCTCACTGATGCACCTTCGCCCTATTCTAAACCTGAGAATCACAGGCCATGGACAGACGCAGAAAATGGTGATAGTACAAGTGATATTCAGCCTACAGAAGATGAAGACGACCACTATCGTAATGGAGGACTTCTACATCGAGGAAGTCTGGGCAACCGTTCGCGTAGCAGTCGCCGTCATATCCGAAATGGACAGAAAAAAATGTCAATGAACGCATCAGATGATGAACTATTTGCATCTTCATCGAGTTATAAACCGACCAGACCCAATGAAGCCGTTGCTGCATGTCTAGAGTGTGCGAAACGTCTGTGTGATTACTGCTTGAAAAATCATGCAAAAGTAGCTGTTACAGCCAACCATGTAATTATTCAATTGGATCAGCTTACTCAAATGTCATGCTCTCGACATCCACGTGAAGCCAAACGCTTTTTCTGTTTAACATGTGGAGAACTGGTATGCCTTGTCTGTACGTTTGAATCAAGCGTTTCAGGCTTAAACTGTGAGGGTGCCAATGAAGACCTCTCTCATGCGGCAGGTCACGCTGATCACGAAGTTCTGTCGATTCGTCAGGGTCTCATAAATCTCGAACAAAACGTTAACAAGTCAATTTTCGATTGCAAACAGAAGGCTGAACGCTTGGAGCTTCTACTTCTCGGCTTAAAATCCTGTGCCTCAAATGTGCTTTCTATCAAGTCCGCAATCAACGCGGCTGCTGGTAACCTGATAAACAGTATCGCAACACAGAAGGAGAACCTGCTACGTGAACTGGATATGGACGTAGGCGTCACTTTAGATCAACTGACCTCACAGTGTGAGACTATAGCAGCCTCTCTCGCTAATTGGGATGAAATTAAGGATGAAGATGACGTAATGGAAGCTATCTATACTCTCCACCCCGTCGAGGCTCTAATCGAAGCAAGTCATATACGTGAGAAGTATTGCAGTGTTTTGGGAGAGCTTAGCGCTTCCCTTCCAAATCAAGAAAACTGGTCTCAGTTAATCAAGGAGATCGAAACATTGGAGCATAATTTTTCTCAACAAGTGAACGTCAAATCGAAGGAAGATAATGGAGGCAACGAAACAGGCAATGAGACAGACAGCTCCTCAGTTACAAGCAACAGCCCTCAAAAGGCATCCAAAAGAGTTCGATTTGCTCCTCCAGCCGAAGCCGCTGGCATGATACCGCCCTCCTATAGCGCCCATTGGACTCGTCGCCTTGGTAAGTTCATACCCGGTGAGGGCGCCAATTTGGGGAGACGCGCGACACCAGGCCAACTGGCCGCCCAGGCGTTCGCCAACCGGGAGAAGTTTGCCTGCAAAGCCGTGCAAGCCAGTCCCACGGACGTGAACGGACGACCTTTGCCGGCGGAGCGCGACTCACGACGCCACCGGGCCATTCAAGTAGATCTCCAACCTACCAATCAAACTGAGACCAGCATGCAGACGGAGGCCTGCAGCGCGAATGCCATTCAACGTATTAGAGTGGACTTCGGAACGCAGTACCAGAGCTCTGACGTCAACATGCCTCTAACATTCTTCCGAAGTTCCAAGCAGATTACCGTGCAAAAGTAGAGCATTTAACACCCCCTTCCGACGTGATTTACATCCTAGCCGCTTGAGGCTATCCTCCTTTTGAATTAGGCTTGTGAGAGTCAAATTAAAACTCAGCATCCTGGAGAGCTTCCCGATCCCACTTTACCATTTTAGTTTCAAACAGATTGTAACTACTCTTAATTCCTCTATGAACTTTTGGCCAATACAATAGCATGGTTCATGCAAACGTTTTGTATTTATTTATAACCTTGTTGGGTGGGTTTTCATGTAATCAATTTGCAGCGGTAGAGTTGACGGTGGTAAAGAAGATTGTAGATGCTATGCTGTTGTGCTGATTTGAACTAAATTGCTCATTTACGTAGAGCGGCGTAATTTCCGGCCTAATTTGAAGTTAATTCCGAGCATTATTTTCCTCCAAATGTGACCACCCGTGATTGGGGAACCAAATCGCTACTTGGCTAATGTAACAAAATGTTAATGAAAAGATGAAACTTCCACTTCGTAGTTTTTTTTAAAACTCTCAATCTTCAGGCATAACTAGCTTAAACTACACCGAATCCACACCCTATAATAGTAAGTTGCGTTGATTCCAAAATGCATAAAAGTTGCGTTCTATATCTCTAGAACATATGTGAGGTGAACTTTATCCTCAAAAAAGTACTTGAAACCATTTTTAATAGTTGAATCATTTAAAAGCCCCTTTTCTTGGTTGAAACTGGTTCGTAATAATATGTTGATACTGCACCATAAAATAAGGCCCAGTAACGGTTCAGGTAAAGCAGCCCAACTGACTTTACTATCTATAATATTGCAAAAAAATTGTGAAGTCGTTTATTTTGGCTGAACATTCTCAAAGTTAGTAATGAATTTATAGCCTAGTTAGTCCTATACTTGAAGTAATTGTTTATGTTGATGTTTGTTTACAGAATATTTACAGAATTGCGTGGTAATTCTTGTGTAAAACTGAGTAGCAAACACGAATAAGAGGGTATCATTTACTGAACTAATCACTACTCGCTTATAGACACCGCCTGATGTACTCAAAATCTAACGGAAATCTGTTTTACACAATAATAGAGGCTACTGTATCTAATAAAAAGCAGTGTTTTGTCATTAGTATGCATATCTGTTGACAAATCGCAGGCATTTCCTCGTTGTATAAGCGAAACGTAACTTGAACCGTATCAGTGCTTTTCCGAAACTGTATGTGTTTGTACAAAAGTGCCACTGTGTATTTTACAAAAAATAGATCGGCACTCGCACAGTTTACAAATCATCAGTAGGATTCTAGCACCTAAAAACTGCACCAAAAATCATACTTTTGCAAAGGATAATTAAGCGACTTAATCTGAGACAAAGAGGGAAAATTTTAATAGCTCTCAAGATCATACTATCTTTCCTGTTGCAAAGCATTCCATTCGACTTAACTAGTTGCCCATCAGCGCCTCTAGTATGGCTGGGAGATGCGGAGTGCGTTGATCCGGTGGATGTGCAGCGACGCTCGATATCAGACATTTTGAATGCAACCCGGGCACCGCCTGGCTGACATTCGCGTACACGTGGTATTTTCCCCTTAAAGCTTGTAACACTTGTGGTTGTATGCAGAAGCTTTTGAATTAGGACAAAAACACTATAGGTTTTTTTTTTCGAAGTGAACTGGATCTGTTACCTTCTTGGACGCGTTCCCTTAGATAATAATTTATTTAAGGTTAGTTAACTAGTTCACAAATATTATTCACAAGGCATCTGCTTTAGTGGCAATCATATTTATTTACCACAAGAATTAAGATAATGAAAACGATGGAAATGCACTTAGCTGTTTCGCGTGGATAAAAAGGACGCAAAAGAAAAACCATCTGCGCACATGCAGTTTTGTAACCTTTACCGTTCCTTACTTCACCAGTTTTCCACGTGACTAAATTTTGTTCATCTACACCGATGCCTTCATCTGCAATTCAAGAAACTGACTGGTAAATCCCCAAAAAACAATGATCAGCAAAAGTTTGGTGCGATTCGGTTCATTATTCACACTGTCTTCTAAGTATGCAATTTGACTTAGAAGATTGAAATTAATCACCGTAACCATTGCGAATACATCTATTCTGTTTGACTAAGGCCGCGTGCACATTAAAAGTAGAATAGACGCTGATAGTCTTCTAAAAACTTGGATAGAAAAACCTTATTATGACGTTAATTAATCGGTATACCACACATGCTAAAATATGCCACTGGGGTTCGACAGTGCGTGTGCACCGAGGATAGGGTAGCCTTCTCTGCGGTCCAGGGAAAGCACACGCATACGAAGTCAAAGGGAGTGTAATGTGTAAATTAACGCGTATCACTGACTCACTGACTTGATCATTTGAAATATCTTCTTTTTTTAACAAATTGTCAAATTTGGCCAGCAAAATAAGCTGAAAGCCGTGGTGTAACGGCCTATTTTTAAATACAGTCACATTCTATTAGACAGCTTTTGACCTCATTTCTACAATCAGAAGGAAATGTGTTGGCCCTTATGGCACTTCTCTTGCAATATTTTTTAACTAGGGTAGGATAATTCCTGACATACAGTGTATACTTGATTATTCAGAGAATGCCTTTCAAAAATAGTAAATTTGGGTTCCTGTAGTGGTCAGATGTTTCAGTGTTATGACAAGGCTAGCGTATTAAATTGATTGACCCGCAGAATGCAATTTGTAAATACTCCATTGTGTTAACGAAGTCTGAGGCCTATTGGAAGAAGTGGCTGAAAGCTAACTTTAGATTGAGCAGGGAAAGTCTCTACTGATTTTATAATTCAGACACTTGTATCCACGCCACCGATAAACATTTTTTGCATTTAAACGCGAAAGTGTGGTAGTGGTAGTGGCATTAATGTGTGTACATGTGAATCGATGGACTGATCATGATGGCTGACGCTGGCAAGTTCGGGCCCACTGGCAATGCACGCGCATGTGTGACGGCCCCGAGTGGGTGGAACAAAGTGATAACCCGCCCTAGCGGTACCCTATGGCTACTATAATGTACGAATTATGCGACAGCCGGCATTATTTATGACAGATCAAAGCAGTATCTGCTGTCAGATCCCTTAACACGAAGCTTTGATTAGACCGTTTGCAAAAAATAATTAGACAACAAATGTTCTTTCTCATATCCTCACATGAAGTGGAAATCGAGTTTTGTTTATTTTAGTCGCGCCATACATCTAGTGTGTACTTTGTCCACTACTTTTCTCCCATCTGCCACCCCGGTGCAATGGTCTCTCCTTACCGCTCTATGATACCTCGCCCCATCACCGCGGATACGTAATACGCAACCTTGGACCTACGTTTTTTTAAGAGGAAGGTTAATATTACCTATGCCGCCTCTTCCAGTACTCATTGATATCACCACTCTTTTTATTGGAACCAATATATTTTTGAAACTTATTTGATTTGTTGTGGATACTGCTATATTTGTAGGATTGCGTACCTTTTTGGCCTCTCTGAAACCCAACCTGCCACCATTCTATCCTTCCAGAGAACTTTGATTGAACACACCAAGAGAAAAAGTGAGTGAGTTATCTGAAACGAAGTCATTAAAAGCATCTTCAAGATCGGCAACTCCGTCAGTATATACATAACGGTATTTGGCCTTAAAAGCAAAATAGGAAGTGTCCCACCGTTAACATGGTTGCTGTACTATTTACACGAACGCCCATTCCGACTACCATAAAAGGACAAATGAAGCACTTAACGCAATATCACCTTTTGATCACCCCTTTATGCTGTCAACTTAATTATTATGATTTTGCTAACAGAGTGATAAAAGTGACCTCCATTCAACTGGATTCGAGGTTGTAGAATAGAAACCAAGCGCTTGGTAAACTGGAATACATATGGCGCGTTTCCTTTCATTTCCAAAGATATAGGGTAATAGCTTTGTTATTTGCTTGACTCTTCGTTTAAGTTTCGTGGCAAAACATTTGCTACCCTAGTATAATGAATTCTTTCGTCTTTAAGAAAGAACCGGGGCGCTACAGTAGGATTGTTTTATGTGAATATGGTTTACAGCTTGAAGGCCACATCCCACAATGCATGCGATAACTTAACCATAGCGAAAAGAACGATTGGCATTTGCTGGGGAAGGGGAGAAGATGGCATTGTAGGTAATTCTACTTTTATAACATCCTGAACTTTGAAATTGATTGACTGGTTTTGAGATAGCTTTAGAAGAAAAAAAAACTTATGATAAAGTAAATGGAATTCATGTATGCCCATAAATCTTTTTTGTAAGAAAATTGCGCCTATTGTAAATCCATTACTTGCAAAGCTTCATGAACTTCATGTCTGTCAGCTTACTCTAAATAAAAGCACTAAGTCAATGTTTCTAGGCGACATTCGTGTGATGATAGCACGAAATCGGAGCCTTGTGTGAATGCAAAAAGCCAACCAACATGTAAAAAACTCGAAAATAATTTTATGGGCGTTCAGAAGACGAATTAGGTTCAAAAAGTTTGCAGATTTTCTATTCCATAAAGTGCTTCAAGCATGTATGCATCGTATGCTTAATGAATATATTTGTGGTTTTGTGATTTGTGATTTTTCTGCTACCTAAACTGGGCATATTTTACATAGAATGCAAGTGGACGAATTCTTGTCAACCCTGACTCCTTTGAGGAACTTCGACTTCCAGAGAGGTGCCTTCTGACACCCCATTTATTAATGCATCTTTCGTAAATGCGTGTCTACTGTGTATGCCTAAGGACACCTCTGAAAACACTTATTCAGTTAAGCGGACATTGCAGTTGTAAAAGTGATCATCTTTGATCTGTGTATTTTGGTACTTGCATCTCAAAATGGACATTGAATTTTACTGCTCCAAAGGATTATCCAAAGACGATTGAGAAAAAACAGATTTACACATTTATTTCCGCCAAACCAGCTCTTCTTCCTTTTTTAATATTTTTAAAAGTCCGGAGAAATTTTTAAGGTAAATGAAGACTCCTAATACCTCTAATATTTGGAAATGCCGCATTTCTCATGACATCTAAATGAATATTCCAAAATGTCGATGAGCATAAGCGCATATCTTTTGAACCGGCATTGTTGTTTTGTCGGTTAATCATCATTCTTTGAAAGTTTTCCTTTTACTCTCACCATTGGAATGCGTGAGTTGAGTTATATAAAATTACTTAGATTACTAAATTTGATGTGCTCAAAGGTACTATGTTTAAGAAATAACAGATGATGCCCACTGTTATTACAAAAATCACCGATTCTTGGAAGATCTTTGAGATGTCAAAATTACTTTGTGAATTTCTAGTTTGAGCCACTCTAGAAAAGGATAATAATCTGACAGACGTCGATACACTAGCAAAACATCAGAAAAAGTTAGTTGATTTTATGCTTTCAGCAGAAAGAAAAGGTGTAACAATGTCTTGTTCTGCTTGGACCAAGAATTTAAAAGCTTTTACTTATACGCTTACCTCTAGAAAACACAGGAGAGTTTATGTTATTTTTTTGTTACAATTTATTATTCTCGGCTCGCTCTTTAGCCTACTCATAGTGTGAAGCCTCGAGACGTTCAAAAAAGACAAAGAAAAACATAGTACTTGGGCAGAATACGTATTATCGGCGTACAGAAGAGCTGAGTGGCTACTGATATGGCGCGGAGACCATACCGCCCAACGGAAGTACAACTGCGAAAAATTAAACAAATAACCAAAGCATTGCAATATATCTCATAAAATATCTACCTCTACCATCGGAGAAGCGTAAGTAACGAGGTCTCACTCATGGATAAGTCGCTAACCCTATCCCATTTCATTCCTAAAAGTGCGTAATTCCCAAACTTTTAAGTCAATACATGCCTAACTCACTCGTATGGTTCAACTTATTTGTTTTCAATTTCAAAGTACTTTACAAATAACTTTTGCCCATCCCCCTCATCCTCCATAAGCTGCCTCTGCTGACTGAAGTGACTCTATTAGCTTCTATGGTTTAACCCACGAAATCACTTAAATTTTCATTATCTGACCAGAAATTTTTATAATCGTTGTTTCATTACTTTTATCGGCGAAGTTTAAGCCAATTTACCAGGCCATCGTTCATCCAGGTCTCTGGAATCTGTACCCAATTTTATTTGTGACAAGATGGTAATGCCAACAAAAGACTAACATGAATCGCTCTCTGATATTTTAAAGATAACTAAGTGGTAAAATCTTCGATGAAGGTTGTACTTGTTTGTTATCTGCATTTGGGGTTTTTATTAAAAATGGGCCTGCTAATAATAATGTAATTGTACTTAGAAAAACATCAAGATCGAGTACATTTGATTCATGTAAAATTTTTTAACACTGGATATCAAGTTGTTCAAGAGTGATACTACACAATCATATGCAAAATCTTAAGGGAAGAAAGTGGCATAGATGGTCGCCGTTGCAACTAAATACTGGACGATAGCACCTCCAGTGTCCCCGCAAAATGTCAAAGTATCACATTTTAAGACTATAATGAGGAATTTAGGCGGTTTTCTGCAAAATCCTTTAGGCATGCTCTCTTTTTAGATCTAATTGTTTCCCTTTTTACAGTTGCGTTGTCTTATTTTGCTAAAAAACATTGTCTAGATCCCTCTTGGAACTCTTCTCTATAGTGCTACTCCAGACTGTTGACTTGATAAAGTGAAAGGATCTTCAAATAACCCAATCTTGCAGAAATTCCCTTTACAAAACATTGTGAGCCATATGAGGAACACAAAGAACGAGGAATGAATGGCGGACTTTCATACAATTAGAACATTCAGCTGTGTGATCCGCGAATGCAAATGTTTGTCAAAAATGACCTCCACTGCGCTACACTTAATTCAGAACTAAAAAATAAAGTTTTAATCCAGTCAATTTAAAAGTGTTATCAGATTAAAGTTTGCAATTTTATTTTATAGCTTAAGTTCCGTTTAGCCCTATTTTAAAGCTACTTTGCTCAAAATCTTTTGCATATTGCACTTTCATCCTTCTCATTCAAGACTCCACTATATTCATTTTGCCGTTATTTATGATGGGATGTCTTTAGAAGGGAGGAGTAAAAGCTTTGTAGGAGGAAACAGTCACGCTCGTTCGACTATTCGATTTCGGTAACATAAAAATAGCAGAAAGGCTAGCGAAAGTGTTTAGCTCACCACTTTCGAATTGTTAATGATGCAGCTGGTGAGACTCTAGTGCATGCCTGTGCCCGATAAATTCATGGACCTGAGCATTTAGCTACAGATATGCGACAGACGCATGTTTTATACTGAAAATAATATTTGACATCTTTTGATTGGTAAAAAATTTTGTTTAATGGGGAATTTCTTATTGTACTTAAGAGACCTAGAAAAATGTCATGTCAATTTGCTGTCACGAAATGTGCGAAAATCAGTCAAATCCATCATTTTTTTGCTGTAGTGAGTCCTTTTTGTCATTTTTAACGGTGCTGCCTCAAGAGCAAGCAGAATGATCTCCATCCCGCAGCAACTTTATACCCACGCAATTTAATGCCTAAAAGCCTATATTGGATGCACATTTGGCAGTATCAACGCCGGGGTCACATTATACTAGTACTATTTCTGCACACATTCCTTTCTTTGATAAATTCCTCATAGTGGTCTTCCCTTAAGAAGCTGTCTTGGATTCAAGTCCCTGACAAGTTTCTTGTTACCACGATCACCTAAGGAGGGTGACTTATAAATGTCAAGGTAAACTGCCTTTATTTGATGTTGATCGTTTCACTTTACATGTTGTACAGTACTAAAGTTAAATGCTGGCTGCATGAGTTCTTGCTACAAGTTGGTAAGAAATCCATGTGTAATTGGTTACTCACTGCGTGTGAATTGCACCGTGCACTTTTGAATAATCTAGGAAAATCTTTTTTCGCATATTCTACTGTTCATTCGCATTTTTCACGTTAATTTCAAAGAAGTAAATAGCAAATTAGATAAACATCTCGAATATACCATTTTACGGGTACTCAATATTGCAAGTTTTTCTAAGAACATCAGTCTTCGGGCACGTTAAGTGTTGGGTTTTACTGATTTGTTGTTATTTTCTTTAGTTTGATTTGGCATTTGGGTTGAGGGCTAGATTTCGCATTTTGAGAGAAAATAGTTTTTTTCCTAGTTGTATACTAAGTGATTTTATAAAAACGGTGGTATCAGATTTCCGGATTGCAAAGTGCACTTCGAAAGTTAGGAAGGCAAACGTTTTCAATATCAAACGCAAGATGTCAAGAGTGGAGTATGATTATTTGGGTTATGGAATTTATGGTAAGACTTCGATATTATTTTCCCACCTATATTTAAAAATTCTAAAACTGTCACATACTCCCCATCGGAAATACCTACCGCATAATGGTCTTACTGAATTGGATTGGAGCATTCGATCAAAATGTTGCTTTTAGATTGTAAGGTTTCTGCTTTACTAACAAATCGGTTGCCAAATCCAACTGTATGCAGGTATAACACTATCATCTTATGTGTCCTTTGGAAATTTTCCGTACGAAAAAAGTTTTGTAGGAATGAAAAATAATCAGGATCAATGCATTTAAGCAAACGTGATTCGGTTACTGAAGGACTGCTTAACCGAAGGGTGAAAAGCACGGGCTATCACCAATTGCGTTAATTACAGATTTAATTTCAAAAAAATAGATTACTCTCACAAGTTCGGAAATGCGTGAACGGCAATCGTACAACTTCCAGAATCACCTGTAATACCGCAGCTAGTTTCGAACAAAGCCCTAAGTACTTTTCATGCATCAAAAACTAAAAAAATGCCTTCTTGATCGCACCAAATATGAAAATAAAGTCAGATATATTGAACAGTTCAAATTATGGTGTATGCCCACCGCATTCGTCGTTTTATTGACATAACGCAACATTGATAGTTTTGTAAAGGTCTCAAAACACCGTCGCATGGTTTTATTAATGATGGGAACTTCAACTGAAAATGCTTGCCTTTTAAAGGGATTTCAAAAACAATTTCTATAGTGGTAGTAGAAAAATTGCTTAAATGCTGCTAGTCTAAATTGCGATCGGTATAGGCAAACAAATCTACTGAGCAATTTCGTTTAAAATGTTGAAGTTGCTAGTACATTTGCTTAACAGCATTAAGAAGTAATTGTAATAGGCATATTCTTGTTAATCAACCTCGTATACTAACTAAAGCAATAGGAATTTTTCCGTTGGTCTTAGTGCACCTGCCTGAGGGCAGAGTGTGCGTTTAATAAAACGCACCGTTTCATGGTTGGAAGTGATTTTAACAAGTTCGCTTCTAGTTTATGTATGATCGGACGCCTTGCATACCTTACATGAGTTAATTTTATCAATATTTGAATTTGCAACTTTTTATTTTTCTGAAAACCTAAATGATGAACTCATAAATGTCGACAAAGTGGAAGCTGAATTTTTTCGAAAGATCGCCATTTTTGATTTGTGGTTCAAAACAGCTCCATACTTTAACCTAATTATCAGCAGTTTAAGTCATTATTTCTGTAGAGGAGTACCATTATGAAGCAACTTTTGCTTGTTTATTGATAAAAAGACTAAAATTTCTTAAATCCACAAAACTTCAACGCTATAATAAAGCTTAGCTGTGGTTTCATGTAAATTTATGGATTAGATTTACATTTGTAGTTATAACATAACCGTATCTGGTAGTTGAGATATACATTCAAATTGATGGTGATAGATGTGATAATAAGTTGGATTGTAACTGACATTGCTATGATCTGATTGCTCACCAGCGAGCAGTGAGAAATTAGGTATAGTTGTCATAATTCCAAAGTCGGCATGTAGTCACAGGCCGTATGGAGAGGCAGCTAGACAATCCACACTTCGCAGTAGGTAGGAGAGCTAGAGGCCTTTTCGCTCTCCGCTCTCTGTGGTCTTCTGATCACCAAGGAATTGCTTTCCTCACCTCACCAGACTCAAAACGGCCGGCTCTCTACCACACAGTGCTAGCCAAATTAGTGTACTGCCGACAGTGCGTTTGATTTGCCTTGCTTAACACCGTATTTCAATGGACTTTACAAAATCTAATAGAAACCATTTAATGATATGTACTTAAGACATATTGAGATCTGGCTGCAAAATAACTTGCTCTCATTTTCGTCTCATGAAGCAGCTATCTTTATTCAATAGTCAATGTGGATGGATCCAATGAAAAGTGTAGCGTCTTTATAAAGCACGAACGCTGCGTCTTTTGTGCATATTTCGATTAATCACCAAGCTTAGTATTTTTTCCAGATTTATAGTGTGTGCTGTCCAAAAGCCCTTTTTTAAAGTGATCATTGGGCAATAGATTTGGTTTTTGATTGAATCAAATCAAGTTGTTTCTGACCGCAAAAAGTAGTACTAGTGTACCTTCACCTTTGGCCACCTACGTCTGTTTCAAATGGGTTGACTTTACCTGTACTAGTGAGGATTAAGGTATATCTTGAGCAGAAAATGCAAGGCAATTCACTAATATAGATGCACCACATTTGATTTTTTTATCCATATTATATTCTACTCGTATAAAACTACATTTTACGTTAATTTTCTTTCAAAAACAAATCGTGTATTCCTGCAGTGTGAATACATCTCATTCTTGCAACCCCATTGAACTTAGAGTTGATGTACGTGTCCAAAACGGTTTATCTTTCAAGTATTACAGTGTATCATGTTAACTCTAGTGCTTACTATACCCAAAATAAGTGCCAAATTAGTAATTATTTGTCGAAATTTGGCATATTCAAATTCGAAACGATAACCCAAAGTCTCATTGACTGAATAATATTGCCAAGTGGCGCATCATAACTAGCATTTGAAGAACCATTAGGAGTGCAAAAAACCTTCGAAACCTGTTTACGCTCATTTCTTTCTAAGTGGGTGGGTTAACATTCGGGTTGAAGGTGGTCAGTTCAGAAATAACTAGTCCTCATGAGTCCATTCACGTGCAAAAATATGATGTGGCAAAAAACTGCTCTTTTAATTCTATCGTAAATTCAAACTCGACAAAAAAATCAAATAATTAAAAAATAACATTTTATTTGACGACTTTAAACATGGTATAGTAAGTCGTTTTGTCAAATTAAATGTTGAACTTAGCAAACCTGAAATCTTCCTGTAGTCTAAATTCTCTACTTGTTAAATATAAATAGACAAATTTATACGCGAAAAGGTACCTCCGCAAGCCTACTATTGAGGTGACGCATTAACATTCCTGAGTAATCACGATAGAAGTAGCATAAAATTGACGTGAACTAACTTTTCGCGTAATTATTGCCGGAATAATAACAGATTACAACAACCAAATATTCATCCTTTAGCTCAACTTACAAAAATGCGGGCAGATTCAATCACAAGGACGAATATCTTATATTGAATGATTACACTTAAAAAGCAAATTACTAGTTTCGCGCCAAATAGCTCTACGATTTACGCTTTATTATTCCTTATGTTTAGCTGCATGGACCTTCTCATGACTCGTACTATGCGAACATGCGTAAGTTCAAAAATAGCACAAACTAATGTTTAAAGTAATGTGCATTTTTGAGGAACATCTGTCCTCGTTGCAACTCTGAATTGGTCTATTTTCTTCAATCTTGGACTTCCTATCATGTTCCAGTATTACTACTGATGTGGAACAAACGAGGCAGTTTCCACAGTCCTTTCTGAGAGGTTCTCACATAGGCGCTTTTAACCTGACTCTATCGCATAGAGAGCGCCTGATTCTACCGTCAAATACCCAACTCCAATTCCTACAACAATAAGGACTAGCGAGCTCACCAATATATGCAGATTCAAACCGACACCCACGGCCCCAAAGTGGGAACCGCCACAGATATCTGGTTCCATTCATTTCTGCTTGTCATCTTTTCTTGCTTGGAATCGGCCTAGGTTAGGCACTGACCCCCAACTTGCCTTATCTCACCGGCAGTGTTACATAACAAATATGAATTGCGAAACCAAATCCCTTCCCTTCAAGGATGAGTTTCGACACAATTCCCTTGTAGTTATGAGAATTTACGCTTCGAATCGAACAAGCTCCACTTCATTGTTTAGGTAATCTCAGTCGACAGTAGGGGGAAATAGGAGAACAGCTATCTGTGTGGTAAAAAGTAAGCAACAACATACAGCGTCGAATGTAATACATCTACACAATAGCAACTTAAAAAACCTGGTCATATAGTACACATAACAGAAACTAAAACTATGAAAAGGGGGAAGACGGAAGTCCAGGTTGCAATTCCATAGGCCCCAGAGACGGCTGGCTGAAGAGGGAGGAAGGAGGCGAGGCGGAGGAGAGGGGAGAAATGGTGGTGGGAGTGTCGGTCTGGCGTCCCTCAGTCATTGCCTGTACACGTCTTGCGTATCTCTGTCGAATGGCTTCCACGCGTTCCTCAAAGCCCGTCCGCGTCACACTCTCTGTGCCCAACAGCGCCTGGAGATGCCTCGTTTGCTGGCCCGTGGCCATGCACAGCCGAAACAACTCCTCCAGCTGCTAACAAAACAAACCCCTTCAAGATCAGCCATAATCATACTAATAGAAAAGACTAATACTTTCTAGTAAGTTAAACGCATGGTTTCTACAGGTGTATCGATTCGGCCAAAGGTGCAAATAACCGCTAATATGACGCATAGTTGCACGCATTTTAGATAAGCTTGATGAGCACTCACACAAGAAAAGACATTTACCTGTTAGTAGAAATTAGTTAAGAATTGAACTAACGAGGGAATGGAAGTCTAACAAATAAAATAAAAACGTCTTGTCGTTGCCATGTGCCGCTTTATAATGCTTTAATCACTAGACTGTGGAGAATTTACGTGACATTCGCCTGTTATCACTAAGCAAAATCTGAAGTATGGATGAGTGGCATTTATGGATAAGCGACTCTAGTAATGCTAAGGGGATACGCGGCGGTACCTTGCGATCAGTCTCTAGTTCATGAGCAGCTTTTATGTATTCTTCAGCCAAAGCGCGGTAGCCCTCAGACTTGATGACAAGACAGTCCTGTTTGACCTTGTTATTGGCTCGGCAACGCTGCACGGCTCTGTTATTCCTTTCCCGTGACACGCGATACTCCCTCGACTTCCGCCTCTCCTCCGATACGGGCCGATACACTCGACGGGCACTTTGACAGTTTCCAGAGGAAATGTCACCATGTGACGGAAGGGCAGGTTGTGGAAGCGGGGTATCAAACAAACCAAGATCAGCACTATCCGACCTCATACCGCTGGGAAGTCATAAATACAAGCAGATAGAACTTGTTAGAGTCTTGCAAATATGTCAGGGAAGAATTAGGTCCATCCATGTTCAGCAGTGCTAACAAACCCAAAGGGTGTCAAGTCACAGTGCGACTGTGGATACAAGACGAACAGCAACACAGTGCCAAGGTACTACCTATGCAACTTCAAATTTTAGACCCAATTCTATTTGGGATGCTGGAAAAGCTGAGGTACCATGTAATCACCAGAGTATACTGACTAGTCCCGCCTAAAAAAGATAGCCTGGATAAATATGCACAGGATTTGGGTCAGTCAGACAAAAAGCACTTAATTCTAGGGCAACCAAAAGGCATTCAAATGTTCAGCGTCCCCGAAATAGATGATGTTATCTTCCATGGGCAGATAACCCATATCACAGTAAATGCAAAGTAAACACAAAGGATTATGAAATACGCCTCAAAAGAATGCAAAGGAAATTCACTACATCACATCAGTTTTACTGTTTAGACCAAATTACTGAAAAAGGAGTGACACGTAGACAATCTGAAGCAGGAAGACGTTATAAGAGCCAGGAAGGCCATTTAAATTATATGTGCAAAGAGCGGTAAAATAAAACAAAAAAGGCAATTAAAAGTAATCACAGTATGCAAACCTAAATTTGCGAAAAAATAGTGCCAAAATCAAATTATAAAAACTCCAAAGGTGGGTGGTAGAAGTTACTCATGAAAATTGCCAAGTAACAATGTTAGAGGTGCTATATATTCATAAATTTTATAGAGGGCCAAATTATAAACCTTGGAATTATCCGTTTACAAACATTAACTTTGAAAAGCCCGTGTGCTCATCAAACCTTTTTTATAGACATATTCATACTAGGCACCTTAATAGTTGAATATTCTCTAACTGATAAAGACGGCTATGTTCATTGAGTTATCTGTGGAGCGAGACTCCT